TGGGACTAGAAAGACTCCTTCATTAAAAAAAAAGAGAGACTTTTTTTTTTTCTTTTGAGACAAGGTCTCTCTGTAGCCTCAGCTGGCCTAGAACTCACTATGTAGACCAGGCTGGCCTCAATCTCACAGAGATTCACCTGCTTCTGCCTCCCGAGTGCTGGGATTAAAGGTGTGAGCCACCACGCCAGGCCATAACTTCATTTTTTAAACTTAAGTTCTTAGCCGTAACTTCATTTTTTAAACATAAGTTCTTAGAGAATATTTAATCAGATTGCGATGCTCAAAATAAAGGTTTGAAACTCATTTCTGTTTCAATAAGAACTCATGTGATGATTTATTCTTGTCTTTGCCTAATTTCTTTTTTCTTTTTTTCAACTTTCTTCTATTTATTTTCTTCTAATGAAGAGTCTGCTTTCTTCATCTAAACCTGTCCCCAAATCCTATGTGCCAAAACTTGGCAAGGGTGATGTAAAGGATAAGTTTGAAGCCATGCAGAGGGCCAGGGAAGAAAGAAATCAAAGGCGATCTAGAGACGAAAAGCAAAGAAGAAAAGAACAATTTATTAGAGAGAGAGAATGGAACAGGAGGAAACAGGAGGTTATTTTATTTCATTTCATTCTTATGCAAATGTTTTCCTTATTTAAAATTTATTTATTATTTGTATGTGTATGAGTGTATTGTCTGCATGTGTGTGAGTGCACCCGTGTCGTGCAATGCCACGGAGGTCAGAAGAGGGCTTCGGATTCCCCTGGAACTGGAGTTAAGGACGGTTCGTAGCTGCCACATGGGTGCTGGGAATCGAACCCGGGTTCTCTGCAAAAGCAGACAGTGCTCTGAACCGCTGAGCCGTCTCTCCAGCCCGTTTTCCTTATTTTAATGTATTATTCACATTACCATTTCCCATGAATTATAATTAAAATAGCTTTCTATACTTGTTAGCTAATCTAAGCTGCACATACAGCAGTCTTCCCATATCTGTAGTTCTACTCTCTACTGGTTAAGTTACCTGCAATCAACCATGGTCCAAAATGTTAAATGGAAAATTCCTTAAATAAAATCTTTTACATAAATTTCATTAAAATATTTTTATAATGGTCCTATTTAATTACTTATTGTTCTTACAATGCCTAATCTAGAAGTTAAACTTTATCAGAGTTAAGAGATGTATGACCTATATTTTTTCTTATATGGACATATAAGTTAAAACAGCACATATAGAGCTCAGTGCTATCTGTGGTTTCAGGAATCCAGGTGACATCTTAGCAGATGTCACCTGCAGATAAGACAGTCTACTGTATATGATTAGTCTAATTTGGGGACATGTGTCCATATTGATTTATTTAACCCCTAGATTAAAGAAATGCTCGCTTTTGATGAGGAGGAAGAGATATCTTCTAAAGCAGAAAAGGCCTATGTTCCAAAGCTAACAGGTAAGAACCTGTTAGGGGTGAATGCAAAGGACAGTGTGAGAGGAGACAGGCAAAGTCTCAAGTCTTTTCTCATGTACCCTTAGGGACCGTTAAAGGTAAATTTGCTGAGATGGAGAAACAAAGACAGGAAGAAGAAAGGAAGAGAACAGAGGAAGAACGAAAACGCAGGATAGAGCAGGATATGTTGGAAAAGAGGAAAATACAGCGTGAATTAGCAAAAAGAGCTGAGCAGGTAGATACTAAATATTAAGTTGGTATTTGTTTCGGAAACTAATTGTGCAAATGAAAACTAATTAGTATGTTGCCTAAGTAAAATATCTTACTATAAACCTATTAACTTGAAAACATTGACTGAAGGAAAAACATTCAGTACCAGGTGCCCATAAGAATGTGACAGATGTGCCTGATTTAAAGTGGAATACTGACAGGTCTTTCAATCAGTTCTGTCCATATTCCTTACACTGTCCACATTGCTAACTTTCCTCAGCTTGTTTGAGAATTTTACAAAGCTAGAAGATATTTACACACATACTGTTTGTAAAACCAAGCAAAATTCTGGCTTTGTCTCAGCAATGCTTACAGATGCTGTCCTTTAAAGTGGGATTTTTTTCAGTGCCTAAGACCGTACACCGTGTGCTTGCCAGCTTTTCCTGCTTTTCCAGAAAGAAGTGATGACCGAAGTGAAGCACTCCCGTACTCGCATGCCCAAGAAAACTGCTAACTCTGACTTTCCAAATAACCTCTTCCTTGACAAAAGCAGCTGCTTGTTTGATGGCAAATGATGATATATCCAGATTACCTATTAAAAAGAATGAGAATTTCCTATATTTTATTACTGTTATCCTTGTCCGAATTTGAAAGGATGCTGCGGAGCTTCCTTCTAGTCATCAGAGTCCAGGATTCATTTTGCAGTGACACTTTTTACAAAGAAATAGAATAATAAGAATTATTAAATTATGTTTTATAAACACAAATATGTAGCTATATAATGGTCATGGTGGCACACTCCTTTAATCGGAGGCAGAGGCAGAGCAGGCAGATCTTTGAGTTCAAGGCCAGCCTGATCTACATAGTGAGTTCCAGGCTAGCCCTACTACAGGGAGACTCTGTCTCAAAAAGATCAAAAATAGATAAATAACTGACCCACTTCAACTCCAGGAATAGAATGTTAGATAGTGTTTTCTCAAAAACTATATTGAAGAAGTAAGTTTGAATATAATAAAGACTGGTTTCTCAAGGATAAATAAAAATTTTTAAAATTTTTAAAAAGATAAATGACAATAAATATGATCATGAAGAAAAGCCACTGTGTTTACTTACTCCAAATATCTGCTGTATGTCAGGGTGCCATAGAAACCCTGGTTAATTAAGTTTTTGCCCTACTAAACTAAGGAAAGTTTACAAAGAAATAGAATCATAAAAAGAGAATTATTGAATTCTCTTGCAGAGGATCTGGGTTCAAATCCCAGCACCCACTGGTGGCTCACAACCATCAGTAACTCCAGTTCCAGAGGATCCAGTGTCCTCTTCTGCAAGAACAGGCAGTGTTCTTAACCGCTGAACTATCTCTCCAGGCCCTATTTATTATAATTTTATGAGTGTGTGCAATGCCCAAAGAGGCAAGAAGAGGGTGTTGGATCCCCTGGAACTGGAGTTGTAGACTGTTATTAGCTGCCATGTAGTGCTGGGGACCAAACCCAGTTTCACTGCAAGAGCAGCCAGTGATCTTAAGAGCTGAGCCATATCTCCTGCCCCTAAATATAATATTTTTTAAAGGTAAACTTTTTTTCAAAATAATTTATCTTTCAGTGAATTAGGCATCTGAGTAAAATGACAGAGCAGAGAATATAGGAAAGTCAAATGATAAGACACTTAGTTTCTAATATGAGCCAGAGTGCAGCAAAAGTCTCCTTAACTGCATGAGGAACAAACTACTTCCAGACTATCACTAATCTTGTAAATAAATCAATAACAAGCAGAGCATGGTGGTACAAGCCTTTAATCCCAGCACTCGGGAGGCAGAGGCAATCTGTGCTCTGTGAACTTGAGGGCAACATGGTCTACATAAGAAGTTCCAGGTCAGCCAGGGCTACACTGTGAGACTCTGTCTCAACCCCCCCTCCCCCCAAAAGTAAAATCAATAATAAACATTTTTACTTTTTTGTGTTAGGTATGCCAGGTGGGTGCTGTACTGCTGAGTTACACTGAGAGTCCTGAATTTCATTTATTTATTTATTTATTTATTTATTTATTTATTTATTTATTTATTATTTTGAGACAGGGTTTTTCTCCATAGCCCAGGTTGGACTTGAACCAATGGCAATCCTTTTGCCTTGGCTTTCAGAGTGCTGGGATTATAGGCATGCACAGCCACCATGTTTCTTAAGAGATATGGGTTTTGGCCTGGTGGTGTACAACTTTAACCTCAGTACTCAGAAGGCACAGGCAGGATCTGAGTTTGAGGCCATCCTCGTCTGTATAGCAAATTGTAGGCCAGCCAGGGCTGTACAGTAAGACCCTGTGTCAAAAAACAAAAACAAAAACAAAAACCAAATGCTAGTAAGAATGTGAGGACAGAGAAGCCTAATATACTTGGTGGTAAGGAAATAAAGCAATGGACAAATTGAGTTCCAACTTTAAAATGAGGATTTTTCCCCCAAATTCTTGGATCTGGTCAAAATATAGAGAATATATTATAATAACCAGAATTAGTTTCCCTTCTAAACTAGCCTCCATGTTTTACTGTATTTTATTATTGGATCAGTTATGCTTTTGAGAAATATTTTGTTATAAAATATAATTACAATTATTTGATTGCTTATGACAGATTTTCCTTCTGCTGGGGCAGAGACAGAGAACTGAGGAACATATCTGTGTATTTCTGTTTATATTGCTAATAAATAATTGTTCCTTATAAATTCACAGCCAAGACAGTTTCCTAATTTACAAAGATAGCCTTTATCTTAATATTTGAATATGCTGCCTCCTGGATACTGGTGTTGATATCAAAATGTAAAAATATGGATTTTAACTCCATTTAAAAGAACATTTGTCTAATTCAGAGCAACAAAATATTTTCAAAATTATGAAGTTAAAATTTTACCAGAAGCCACACCTAAATTACTTTTCAGTTTTATGTTTAAAGCACCAAGCAGAAATCCATTGTCATGTAATGATATGAAATTCTCATTCAATAGATTGAGGACATATACAATTCGGGAACTGAATCAACATCAGAGGTAAACAGACGTTTCCTTTAATGAAACATTCACTGAAAATTATCTGATGCACAAATTATTTGTAATCTAAGAAAAACTTACAGGGGCTTTTATCTCACTCTTTATTGTAAATATCACAACAAAAGTACATGAATGTTTTGTAAAAGCAAGATCATACTTTTGCATTTTCAAACACTATAGCTTAGTGTTTTTAAAGAGAAGTATGTTTTTGCTTTCAGACTTGTATCGGAAAGACAAGTCTCGTTAGTCTGTTTGGGACTCTGTGAAGACTGCATGCTTCCTGAACTAACCCTGCAGACTTCTGGAAGCTGACATTTAAAAGGCAGTTTTATCTTCTTCATTCGCATTCTGTCCTCAGAGTTCCCTCTGGTTCTCACACACCAGTGTAGAGTGCAGTGTATGACATGAGGGAATACCATAACCACAAACACTTGGCCCTTTTTATGTAACAAAGTTAAAGACAGTCGAACAATTTGATGGTGTACCTAAAATTACAGCCACATAAACTGGAACACTTTTATTTGGGGAGCATGTGTTTATAATTTCTACTTGTGAAAAAGGAGGCAACAATAAATTTGTAGTAAAACCAACTGAAATTAACTTTTAAAAGAATGTACTTTAAATAGTTTAATAGGATGAAATGCTTTAGAGCATTTAGTCCCGGCACTCGGGAGGCAGAGGCAGGCGGATCTCTGTGATGTCAAGGCCAGCCTGGTCTACATAGTGAGTTCCAGGACAGCCGGGGCTACAGGGAGACCCTGTCTCAAAAAGACCAAAAAAAAAAAAAAAATCATTTGAATATTCAATGGTTTAATCTCATTAAATATTAGTTTTATTAAGTATAAAAACTTGGATGGAGAAAAATTTATGGAGACACTTCCATTATACGTTTAAGCTAAAGCCATCCACCATCAAATTGGTTTCAAGTACACATTCTCTTTCATGCAATTAATGTACACATCGCTAAATTCAGGCAATGTTACATTTTTATTGTCAAGTCAACTGTATTAATTCCATCTTCCCCAAAGTAGAATGCTTCTTGAACCTGTCACCAATAAAATTTACTAATGATGCAATGAATTCAGAGAAAGATTTACTTAATAGTGACTGGTTAAAAAAAAAAAAGGTTTGTTTTGTTTCTCATAACTGTGACAGCAATGTAATGAAATCTACCAATTATGGAGGTGAAGTACCCTACCACCTATACCTCTATTAAGATAGATGCTAATTATCTATATTATAAAATAGGAAGGAGATGATTCACTGCTTATAACAGTGGTACCTGTCAAGTCACACAAAACATCTGGAAAAATAAAGAATTTCGGAGCTCTAGGAAAAGGAGGAGAAGAGAGCGTAAGAGCGACTTCTGAAGATAAAAGAGGCTATGAGGGACACTGCCGCGCTCTCAAGGAAGCAAAGTGCCTTTCACTGGTTATGGTAATTGTTTTATTTTGTGTTTTTGAGACAGGGTCTCCCTGTACCCCTGGCTGGCCTGGAACTCACTATATTGACCAGGCTGGCCTCAGTCTGAAAGAGATCTGCCTGCCTCTGCCCCCTGAGTGCTGGGATTAAAGGCCTGCACCACACCTGGCTGGCCATGGTAATTAAAAAAAAAAAATCAAAATCGTTTAGTGAATAGTTAATAAGCTAATCGTTTTATGACTAATAAGTTTGTTTTCATAGGATGATGAAACAGACAGTGAAGCAAAAAAAGAATCACTTTTTCCTGGAAAACTGAAGTTAACTTTTGAAGAACTGGAGCGACAAAGGCAAGAAAATCGAAAGCAGCAAGCTGAAGAAGAGGCAAGACGACGTCTGGAAGAAGAGAAGCGTGCTTTTGAAGAAGCCAGGAGGCAGATGGTAAATGTGCACAGGCCACCCTTGCAGTCAGTGTTATGAAGCTAACGGTCTCTCTAAACCTACCTGCCTGCTTCTTTTGTTTTGCTTTTGGCAGTGCTATGGATTGGACCGAGGGCCTAATGCATGCTAGGCAAGTGCTCTACCACCAACCTAACTCCAGCCCCAAGAGCCTGATTTTGAAACTATACACACACTACATACATATACAAAATTCATCTGTATTGTATTTAAGTTTCTACTTTGGGAAGTTTTGTGCTTACAATTTTTATTTTAATATTGTTTAGACTTTAAACATTGAAAATTACTCAAAGAAGCTGCTTTTTCTTTGTTGTATACTAAGCAGTATAGTTATTTACTTAATTATGCACACACACACATACACACACACATATTTGAGACAGGGTCTCATTATGTAGCCCTGGCTGGCCTCATATTCAGAATGCAGCCTACTTCTGCCTCCCTAGTGCTGGGATTAAAGGTATGGCCACTACCCTGGCCCATTAAGCAGTATATTTAATGACAAGGTTGAAAGACATTTTCAAGTCAAATTATAACTATACATTCCATATGAGCAGTGCAGGTCTATAATTCTAGCTACCTGGGAGGGTTAGGAAGGAGGACTGCAAGTTCAAGGCCTTCCTGGCCTACAGAGTCAGTTAAAGAATTAGAGACCAACTTGGGCAACTTATTGAGGACTCTGTTCTGAAATAGAAATGGGTTGGGGACATAACTCAGAGGTAGCACACTTGCTTAGCATGCACAGGCCCTGGGTTTAACCCCTACTACTACAAAAAAGAAAAGGGAACACTGGTTCTAATTCTCATTTTGAGAATTTAAGTATGAACAGCTATAATTTTTAAGGTTACAGATTTCTCTATCAGCTTCGATTCATAATATAAAGATTATAGCTTACCATATTAAAATTTCTAGACATTTAAAATGTTATTACTTTTGGATAATACCTACACATTTTAGATATCACTAGTAACCAACTTAATACTATTAATAAATCAGACAGGGGCTGGAGAGATGGCTCAGTGGTTAAGAACACTGACCTTGCAGAAGACTGGGGTTTGAATCCCAGCACCCACATGGCAGCTAACAACTGTCTGTAACTCTAGTTCCAGGGGATCCGACAGCGTCTCTGTCCTCCGCGGCACTGCACAACATGGGTGCACTTACCTACATGCAGGCATAACACTCATACAGATAAAATAAAAATAATAAATATTAAAAAATAAATCAAACAATAAATTTCTATAAATTTAATAATACATCATGAAACAAATTTTATGTGAAATTATACCAGATATTATTTTTATATGACTAGTATAAGGAAAAGTAACAATGTTCACTAGTAAAGAAACCATAAAAATCACTCGTTGCACAACCAAAAACCCTGTATATGTATACTTGAATTTTAAGTGCCTATGATTTTTGCTTTGGGAAAATTAATGTTCAGCATGAACCCCTTAACTTTTTACATGTTCTATCTTATTTAAAAGCTTGATTGAGCAGCTTTATCTAACTTTTTATGTGGACTCTTTCCACACTCGAATATCTACCATCTAGGACAACACAAAGGAAGATGATCTGGGACACGAAGGCTCTACCGCATTGGGCGGTATGTGAAACAGCTCACCATGTGCCTGTCCACTGACAGCTCATTTCGGACCGAATGAGTCTCGGCTTTTAGTAATGAACCTTTTCTTTGATTAGGTAAATGAGGAGGAGGAGAACCAAGACACAGAAGAAACTTTTAAAGAGTACCGTCCTGGAAAACTCAGACTCAGTTTTGAGGAACTAGAAAGGCAAAGGAGAGAAGACGAGAAAAGGGAAGCAGAGGCAGCAGCCAGAAGGAGGATAGAGGAAGAGAAGAAGGCATTTGCTGAAGCCAGGAGAAGCATGGTGAGGCCACCTGAGCAGCACCCTTGCTTCGGCTTCTCTTGGGATGGGGTGAGGGGTGAGGGAAAGAGAGGAAGGGGGCAGGGAGCGGGAGAGCTGGAAGGCAACCTCGAGCTGTCACTCTCAGGAATGTCGCTCACCTCTTTTGAGACAGGGTGCTTTCATTGGTCTAGAGCTCATCAATTAGCTTGAAATGGCTGGCCAGCAAGTCTGAGGCATCCTCCTGTCTCTGCTGCCCCAGTGCTGGGACTATAGATGTGCCTCTGGCTTTTATGTGCGTTCTGGGGCTTGAGTCAGGTCCTCATGCTTGTTAGACAAGCCCTTTACCCACTAAGTCACCTTCCCAGCTGATGATTCTGCTTTTAGAGGATGATTAAATGATTAGATTCCGAGGAGCACACCATTATCTCTGAAATGAATGGCAAAGAATAGGAAGAAGAATAGGAATGGCAAATAGTTTTTTGTGTTTTGAGACGGGATCTTACTGTGTAGTCTTGGTTGGTCTGAACTGTGTACAGCAGACCGGCCTTGATCTCAGAGATCCACTTGCCTCTGTCTCCCTCCCAAGTGATGGGATTAAAAGTGTGCACCGCCATGCCTGGCCTCCTATTATTTCTTTAAAGTTATCCTTGCATCAAAAATTTAAATAAACAATAATATTATAATATTATTATAATAGCATTAAGGTTTTTTGGTATTTTTTTTTTTTCTGATGAGGGCTCCTGATGGCATGTGATTCATTCAGACAAGACCATGACTTAACTGAAATGTTCTATTTTAGTGATCAGAATGGAGATTCACTTTAATTCGATTAAAATATTCTCAATATAATCAATAAAATATCAATGCTTAATTCAAATGACTTATAGAATAAAGAGAGAATTTCTGTTTACTAGAATGGAAAACAGTCATCATTTCCTCCACAACCACAAAATGCCTGTCTTACATTTTCTAATAATGCCTCCCTTGTTTCTTGGTTTGTACTTTTAAAAGATTTTTATATCATGTTTTGCCTGCATGTTAGTGCACCATGTGTGTGCAGTGCCTAGAGAGGCCAGAAGATGGTGTCTGATCCCCTGGAACTGGAGTTAGCCATCATGTGGGTGCTGGGAACTTAACCCAGGTCCTCTCTAAGAGCAACAAGTTCTCTTAAGCACTGAGACATCTCTCCAGCCCCTGCTTTGTAGTTTTGAAAACAGTTTATGATCTCTTCATTTTTAGATCAATGTGAAACATTTTAATTTACTAAACCCAATTTTATTCTTTAGTACGCATAATCCTTACAAAAATGATAAAAGAACTGTTTTAAATAGGTATTAGATGATGATTCCCTAGAAATGTATAAAACAATCTCTCAAGAATCTCCTACACCTGGAAAACTGGAAATTAATTTTGAAGAATTACTAAAACAAAAAATGGAAGAAGAAAGACGACGAACAGAGGAAGAACGAAAGCACAAGCTGGAGATGGAGAAACAGGAATTTGAACAACTGAGGCAAGAAATGGGAGAGGTAAGGCCTAAGAGACACTCACGGGATGTTCGCATTAGTGCTTTCCATGGTACTGTTGTTATTCTGACCTTGTAAACATTAGTCACGTGAGGACAGCCAACATACTGTGATGAGAGGCATGTTCTTAGTGGAGGCTGCCGGGTGTGTCCAAGCTGGCCTAAGGTAGCTATGAGTAAGACCCAACAGAACTGTAAACTCCCTTAAAACATGGTACTTTTCTTCTTTTGGTAATTAGACCATCTGGTTCTCAGGTATGAACTTCATAGGTGACAATATCTGCCAGTGTTCAAAAGTTGCCAGGTGCGGAGGCATTAGTATATTTATGTGTACTCTCTAGTATATTTCTCGTTACTTCAAAACATGTAACTTTGCAAGTGCTTATTACTATAACTCCTTAAGTAAATACTTCTTACATACCTAAGAATTTATATGGGTACACTGATTGTGAGCTTTTTTTTTTTTTTTTTTGGTATTTTTGAGACGGGTCTCCCAGCTGGCCTAGAACTATGTAGACCAGGCTAGCCTCAAACTCACAGCAATCCACCTGCCTCAGCCTCCGGAATGTTGGGATTAAAGGTGTGCGCCACCGTGCCTGGCCTATGACCTTTTTCTTTTTAAGCTGAGCCATCTTTCCAGCCCCATGAACATTTTTTCTTAAGTTCTGTACTTAATGCATTTAGTTGTGTTTTCTTTGGAACAAAAGGACACACTGATTAACAGATTTAATCAAAGTGAAACTTAACAGGATGCTAATGGGTTCAACAGTTTTGGTAAGCCTCTTTTTTTTGAGATTCAGTCTCACTAGGTAGCTAGTCCTGGCTGCCTTGCTACTAGACCAGGCTTGAATTCACAGACATCTACCTACTTCTACCTTCCCAGATTCATACATACTAAACACACATTTTACCACTGAACTATATCCCCGACCTCTAATTGGCAAGTATTTGAAACTATTTTAAGATGGAACTTTAATGCCATTAAATATCTTAGCATAATAAATGTAGCATTGAGATGAATTTAAAGTGCATATATCGATCAGCTTTCTGGGCATGCAGTATGCTACCACAGGACATCTATTCAGAAGTATCCTCCATGTGTGGTGCACTGCTTAGGGTGCCATATTGAAACTCTTAATTTTATCTTAGTGCGTTCTAAGTGAAAGATGGTAATGGAGTGCTAGCTCAACCACCCTGCCTCCCTGGAATGTCCCTTTCGCAGCCTCTTTCCTAAGGCCCTGCCAAGTCTTCTCAGGCCTGGACCATTTCCTGCTGTCTAGGTACCCGCCCAGGCTGCAGCAAAAGAAGGGCAGAAAGGGGACCAGTACTTACCATCATTCTGAGCGTCAGGCAGTTGCAGGCCATACATATGAACAGGGTCAGGGTGAGGCAGGGCAAGGTGAACAGTGACTATCCCAGCCTCTGATGATGATGCAATGCTTGGCAAGGATTTGGTGGGGCTAACTCCTAGTCTAAAAATGAAGTGGGTCTCTATACACAGGTATTTCTATATACCTCAGACAGTAGAGTTTCACTTCCCTACCCTGGCTGTGGCACAACTGGCCCTGAGAATACAGATGTCATATATGCATTACACAAAATACAAATATGCTGTTGGAAAGTATTCCAAGGCATAGTCTTCCTCATTCTCTCTCCAAGTAGTAGCATTTACTTAAGAAGCTCAAGATGAAGTTTCCTTAGAAATATTTCTAGAGTAAATGTATTGTTCAGATGGAATGCAGTTAATATATCATGGTGTATTAACTATCAGAAGTTCTGGTGCTGTCAAATTCTTTACCCTGTTATGTCTGGAAATTTTCAGGACATGTAGCATCTCAGTTCCAAGACCAGACTAGCAATTAGTTCGATCATTATTAATTTTTTTTTTTGTCTTTTTGAGACAGCCTCTGTATCCCCAGCTGGCCCAGAACCTGCTATGTAGGCCAGGCTAGCCTTGAACTCAGAGATCCATCTGCCTCTGCACACTAAGGCACACACTTTTAGTCCTTTAATCAGAATGATTTAGAAACGATTTTAATGTGCTGTATACTATGAATTTGATAGCTTCCAGTATTTAATGAGTTCTTTATTCTAAACAAATGAAGGTGATAAAAAGAACCACCTTTTTTCCTCGGTTGAGATGGCAATTGAGTTCTTCATCCCATTGTTGACTAAAAACCTCCCGACTAATTTTAATTTTAGCATTTATTCATTCAGGGGAAAGGGGCATGTGTGCCAAGGCATGCACATAAAGGTCAGAGGTCTTTCGGGAGTTCTATCCCTGTCACCAACACGGTGGAAAGAGATAAGTCCCAAAAGTGTTTGTGCAATACAACTTCCATGCCTTCTCCTAAGAAGAATTTTCCTGTAACTCTCCATGTGTATTTTTGTTGTTGCGGGACATTATGAAAAGTTAGAGGGCTTTAGGCATACTCCCTGAGGGAAAAATAATATTTTTATTTTTTAAATATTATTTTTATTTAATGTGTATGCGTGTATTGCCTGCAGTAGGTTAAGTGCACCGGTGTTGTGCAATGCCTGCAGAGGTCAGAAGAGGCTGTCAGATTCCCCTGGGACTGGAGTCACGGGCAGTTGTCAGCTGCCATGTGGGTGCTGGGATTCGAACCCAGGTCTTCTGCAAGAACAACCAGTGTTCTTAACCGCTGAGCCATCTCTCCAGCCCTATTTTTAGTTTTATAAAAAATATTTTTTCTTCTAATCCAAGAGACTCTAACCGTGTACAAAGAGCAGCAATAAACCAAGTGAGAAGGGTACACGTGACGCAGCACCTGGTACATGGCAAGCCTTCAAAACAGTCACGGTTTTTCTGTTGTCAAATGCATAGTGAGTTCCAGGCCAGCTGGGGCTACAGGGAGACCCTGTCTCAAAAAGACAAAAAAAATTTTTTAAAAATTATTTTTATGTGTATGAGTGTATTGCCTGCATGTATGTGAGTGCACCTGTGTCATGCAATGCCGCAGAGGTCAGAAGAAAGCTTTGGATTCCTCTGGAACTGGATTTAAGGATGGTTCTTAGCCGCCATGAGGGTCCTCTGCAAGAGCAGTCAGTGCTCTTAACTGCTGAGCCATCTCTCCAGCCCCGAGAAAAAATTTTAAGTGGAATAAAATGTTTTCTAAAGTCTGTTCTATATTGCCATTTTTAGTAAAACTACAGTAGCACCCCTCCCCCATCTGTAGTTCCCTTTTGTGTTTGACAGTGGTCTGAAAACATGGAATGGAAAACTGCAGAAATTAACAGTTCCTAAGTTTTAAACTGCATGCCGTTGTGTAGCAGGATGAAATTTTGCTGTCCTGCTCCGTAAGAACTAGAACAAGAAGCCCCTTTTCTCACTGTACCACCTGCTACTTAGTGGCCTTCTCTATTACCACACCCCATTGGTGCAACATAATGCTTGCACTCAGGTCCATTTATTTGTGGGTCCAAATCACAATAATACTATGCCAAAGAGAAGGTGTGCAGGGCTTCCCTTATGTGAAAGGTTGAATGCTCTTAATGTGTAAAGAGAAAAATAACATAATGGAGGTTGCTCAGGTATGTTAAGAATGAGTAGGAGAAGCACTAATAATATTTCCTCAGGCATCTGCTGGGCATCTTCGAACATACCCCAGCACACAGCTGAGGGGATTCACCGTAATCTGCTATCTAACATGTAGAAAATCTTAATTTTTTGAAGGAAATAGAAGAAAATGAAACTTTTGGATTGAGCAGAGAATATGAAGAATTAATTAGATTAAAAAGGAGTGGTTCTATTCAAGCCAAAACCCTAAAAAGCAAATTTGAAAGAATTGGACAGTTGTCTGAGAAAGAAATACAGAAGAAGATAGAAGAAGAACGAGCAAAAAGGAGAGCAGTTGACCTTGAGATTAAAGAGCGAGAAGCTGAAAACTTCCAGGAGGTATATTACTTTTACATTTAACACAGGTGGTAATGTTAATGAACTTGACAAAAATAACATTGACTTTGAAATAAGTTTTAGTATTTACAATTAACTTTTGGTATATGTAACAACCTGGAAACTAAGGGAGGACCATTAAACTCATACAGCACTTCAAATTTAAAGGGGTAAGGGAGCTGAGGACAGGATGAGGATGGAGCAAACATACAGATTAACAAAGCAAGGGGAAGGGAAAGTTTGTTAGGCCAGGTTAGCCTGAGCTATGACTGAAAACAAGGTTAACTCCGTTATACAGTGTCATAAAGATCAAACTGGACACAGGTTTACAGGGTGGAGAAAAGGAGGCCAGAATGAAAGGCACAGGTAAGCACCCAGTCTCTTTGTCCTAGTCTCCTTTGATACCACTTGCACCTTTGGGATTTATGCTTTACCTCTAACTAGCCCATGGAAAAAAAATGTTTAGCCCTCAGAGTCCAAACTAAACAATCATTTTCTCTGTAAAACATTCCTCAGTTTAATAAAATGTTGGAGTCAGGAGAAGCATTCCAGTTTTGCCAGCCCTCAGGAGGCAGAGGCAAGCCGCTGAGAGCTTGGTCCACATAACCGTTTAAAAAAAAAAAAAAAGGAGCACTTCAGATTTGAGGGGACGATGGGAGCCAACAAAGATTACACTAATTTGCTTGAGGAAATGGAAAACAGACTCCAAATACTGTAAGTGCACTGACAGGTCAGTTGTAAAGGTAGGTTCTGGCTAGTTGTTGGAAGGACTTTCTCAAAACCTTAGAGACTTAACCAGCATAATGTTGTTATCAAAATTTTTACAGCAGAGAAAAAGTTACTAAAGCAAATCTGGGATCATGGCAGAGGGACTGGCAAGGTAGAACCAAGGGCAGTGTAGCTGAGGATGATCATGAGTTCTGGTTCTCCTGCCTCCACCTTCTGCACGCTGGGATTATAGGCATGCACCACCATGGCTGGCAAGATCTAACTTTTAACAAAATGCTGCTTCTGGCAGGTGACTGCTGAGAAGCACCATCATCACCAGGGGAACCAGATGATGTTGGCTCATACAGGTTGGAGAGGTGCAGTGAATAAACTGTTTTGGGTAAGATTAAAAAAAAAAAAAGAAAAGGCACTATGAACCAGGCTGAGTTTAGGTGAAAGGCAAGAGCCTGTGAAATCATGGCTAACAGCTAGTGGAATGAGAGCAGTGACGAGGATCTGGAGAACACTAGCATATAGTGCCTGCGGCACAGGGAACCCAGTCTTTAAACATCAGAGAAAGTGAAGTTCACTAGGGTTGGGTATGACATAATGCTGTAATCCTAGCACTTGACATAGAGGAGAATCAGGGCGTCATGGTCATCTTCAGGTTCAAGGAACCAATCAATTGAAACAGTTCAGTCAATATGAATTTGCTTTTTTGTGAAACTTGAAAGCAATTATATCATTACTAATTATAAAGGAAAGAATATAGTTTTACTGCTGTTTCTGGCTCTTGGATTTGCGATTAGGACATTCTGAATGGTTTCCTGTGAAGGATTGTAAGGTGACTTCTATTAATACCGTCCTGGATTAAAGGTCACTGAAAGTCTTTTAACTTTCAGCCAAGTGGGAGTTGGAGAGAGACAGCTCACTGGTTAATAGCTCTGTCTGCTCTTATAGAGGATCCAGGATCGATTCTCAGCATCCACATGGTAGCTAACAACTGTCCATAACTCCAGTTCCACGGGATCCAACTCCCTCTTCCTACCTCTGCGGGCACTTTTGGCAAAGTGCTATCAATTTCCAGAGTAAAGCACCCCCTCTTTCTTACCCCCGTAGTAATTAAAAACCATACAAAAATCTTTCTCCAACTCAACATATCTTACCTAAGTTTACTCCTTAAAGAGGCAACATTTGGCTGGAACGGTTTGAAATGAAGATTCTAGACTTCATTTGTGTAACTGCTAAACAATGCAATCCCCACTCCTACAGCATTTAAATTATACCACTCACTTGATTTCTTTAAACCAATTAAATACTTCATGCAGCAACTCTTTTTTTGAGACAAGGTCTCACAATACAGCCTTGGATGGCCTTGAACTCAAAAGATCTGCCTTTAGAGTGCTGGCAAAAAGATCTGCCTTTATAGAGTGCTGGCATTAAAGTTGTGCTACCACATCTGGTTACAGTATTTCTGTATCCCAGGTTGGCTTCAAAGTCAGAGGATGATCTTTAACTTCTGATCATCCTGCCTCCAAAATCCTATGCAAGCCATGTAACACCCACCCAGTTTATGGGGTATTGAGGATCACATTCAGAGCACCATACATGCTAAGAATGCATTCTACCAACAGCCACACCACCCCCAGTCCCTGAGAGTATTCAACTGCTTCATAGCCCAAGAGTTACTGTGTTGCCTTACTACTCTGGTACCAGGATGTCAGCACCCTATAAAATGGCTCTTGTTCCATTTAAGAGAACGTTCTCAGACACATTAGGCTAGATTTTAAAAGGTTCCACAAGGGAACATCTCCACTTATGTATAAACTCATTTTTTTTGGGGGGGGTCTTTTTGAGACAGGGTCTCCTTGTAGCCCCAGCTGGCCTGGAAGTATGTAGACCAGGAAAAGAGAAAAATCAAAGCCTGGTGCGGCAACATTTAGTCCCAGCACTTGGGAGGCAGAGGCAGGTGGGTCTCTGAGAGACAGGGTCTTTTTTGAGACAGGGTCTTCCTGTAGCCCCAGCTGTCCTGGAACTACGTAGACCAGGCTGGCCTTGAACTCAGAGATCTGCTTGCCTCTGCCTCCCAAGTGCTGGGATTAAAGGTGTGTGCCACCATGCCTCATTTTAAAATACAGGTTTGAGGCAGCTACAGAAAGTGATGAATTTTCACAACTTGTGATAAATTCTAGAAGGCAACTTATTCAGTCAGAACTATCTTAAATGTTCATTTGGTAAAGACCAAATATACACAATTTCCATCTTTGGAAAAATGAGAAAATGAAAACCACTGTTAATGTGTATTTTTCTTTTGATTTTGAGATAGCATCTCCCTTAAGCTCCAGTTGGCCTGGAACTATGTAGACCAGGCTGGCCTTGAACTCAGAGATCCACCTGCCTCTGCCTCCTGAGTGCTGGGATTAAAGGTGTGTGCCACCACCCCTGGCATTAATGTACATTTTTCGTTCACTCAAGACAGGGTCTCAGATGGCCCAGCTGGTCTAGAAATTGCTATGTAGTCCTCTGATGTGCTAGGATCACAGTACACACCACTATGCAGGGCTTGAGGTGTGGGGAAATTACTCAGTTGCCTAGGTAGGCCCCTCAACCTACCTACAATTCTAGACTTAGAACATGTATTTTTCTTGCCTATCTTAAGTGTAATGATTAAAAAAAAAGCATCATTCACTGGCAATTAACTGCAGACATCAACTGATGATAAATAGCACAAAAAAGAATGTATCAGGTATCTAGCTGTGTCTGATATTCTAGGGTTTTACTAACTCCCAACTAAAAATGTGACCTAGTAAATCAAGAAACTCCAATTTCTTTTTATGAAGGTGCAACACCCCAAACTGATGAAAAACGTGCCCAAGATTTTCTCATATAGGCAATTAACCTACAGCTGGTCCCTCAATTTGCATTTAGTTGGCTATTTTATCCTGAAGCAAGTTCTCCATTCTACTATGAAACAAATGATGACAGTTCTAAGAAACCTAGTTTTAGGGGCTTAAGAAATAGCTCAGTGGTTAAGTGCCATGTATGATTGCTCTTGTAAAGAACTTGACTTCATTTCCAACTCCCTGTATGTAACTCTAGCTCCTCTGGTACCCGTGCTCATGTGTACATACACACCCACAAACAAGAAAACAAATCTTAAAAAAAAAAAAAAAAAAAGCCTTAATTTAGGGCTGGAGATGTAGCAGTTGGTAGTGTGCTAGGAAACCCTGGGATCAGTCCCCAGCACCACAAATACCCATGTATAGGTATATGCCTGATAGTCTAACACTCTGGGGGTTAAGGCAGGGGCATTAAGTTAAATGTTATCCTCAGCTACATAGCAAGGTCCACACTATCTCAATAAAACCAATGGGACTAGAGCCAAAGAGATGGCTCAATGGTTAAGAACACTGAGTTTGGTTTCTAAGCATCCCCATAGCAGCAGCTCACAACTCAGTTCTAGATCTGATGCCCTTTATGGGTAAGACACAGTGCACAAAACATACACATGCAGGCATAACACACACATAACCACCCCAATAGCCTTAGCTTTGAAACCAATTTAATCTGTCCACACCACTCTATTACCACCATGCCTTTATTTTCATGGCTGCAAAAGCTCACCATTACAAAAGGACTTACCTCTGTCACTACCCCATATTCCAGATGCTCCACTCCCAGAGGTACCTTCCCCTGTCATCTGACCATGATTTGGATGGATTCATAGGAGCAGACATGTTCTGACATGGGGGGGGGGGGGAGAAGAGGCTGAAATTTGTTTTAACAACTGTCCTTTAACGCTCTAATGTGCAACACTTTCTGGCTATTACTCAGTATTACCAATTTAAACAAGGAGAGAAGGTTGTATGGCAATTGTTCCAAAACTGCTAACTTGCTTTTCCTGAACCAAAGAGTAATGAAAATCTGCATGGCTTTAGTATCACACAGATATGCAAACCAAACATGCCGAGTACTCTCTACCTATAAATGACTCATCCATTAATACATAAATTTTTGGCTTTTATAGAGCAAGTGACTTTTATTCTTGGCCCACTTTAAGGAAGAAGACGTTGATGTAAAACCTCCAAAAAAAAGCGAGGCTCCATTTACTCACAAAGTGAACATGAAAGCTAGATTTGAGAGAATGGCTAAGGCAAGAGAAGAGGAGGAGCAAAGAAGAATTGAAGAACAGAAGCTACTACGAATGCAGTTTGAACAGAAAGAAATAGATGCAGCGCTACAAAAGGTATCAGCCTTTTATCTCTTGAAAGGAAGTTCTTAATAGCTTCCAAGTTGCTGGAATGTTTTAAAATTAGTATGATGCTTACATCATGTTCTTATTTTTGTCTCTTTCATGCTGGGACTCAAATCTCAGCACCTTATGCATTCTAGGCAAGTGCTTGGAGTTACAGCCCATACCCTATTTACCTCAAAATTCTATTATTAAAACAGTAAGCTAAAGATAACGATTATAAAGCCAACCTGAATGCACTTCTTTTAATATAGAAAAGAGATGATGAAGAAGATGAAGAAGGGAGCATCGTGAATGGCTCCACTATGGAAGATGAAGAAGAAGCCAGATCTGGAGCTCCATGGTTCAAAAAGCCCCTAAAAAACACATCAGTTGTGGACAGTGAGCCAGTTAGATTTACTGTTAAAGTAACCGGTGATCCCAAGCCAGAAATTACATGGTGGTTTGAAGGAGAACTATTGCAGGATGGAGAAGACTATCAATACATTGAAAGAGGAGAAACTTACTGCCTTTATTTACCAGAAACTTTCCCAGAAGATGGAGGAGAGTACATGTGTAAAGCAGTCAACAATAAAGGCTCTGCAGCTAGCACCTGTATTCTTACCATTGAAAGTAAGAATTAATTGGCATTTGAGCTTTTATTCTATTAAAACATTTTCCCCATAGGAAAACATTATCATTCTCCTTCTTCTCTTTTTTAGTGGACGACTACTAGGCTTCCTTCTCCCCTCGGGAACTTTCTGTCTCTTCAATTTTCTTACTACACCATCTTTTCTGTGGAGGGGGCAAAAAAGGAGACCAGAGGTGCCACCACGCTGACTTAATTCCTTTTACTAATCTGCAAAATAGAAGCTCATCTAAAGAATGCCTTTTCCAAAACATTACCATGTTGTGCAGAAGTCAAAATGTATGACAGGAATGGCAAATTTATTCACTTTGTTAGAACTTAAAAATACAGGCTTTATATTTTTCATGTTTATAGCAATTATAGTACATTACTTTGCATGCAAGAATTTATGAGCTTTTACATCTAAAATTATTCTGTGGTAACAGATGAAACTGGAATCTACCAATTTATGTGGCCCTCTTTTCCCCGACTAGTACATGTGTACTTTCTGGTCTTTTGAGATGGGGAACCCTGTAGCCACAGCTAGCCTGGAATTCGCTATGTAGACCAGGCTGGCTTCGATCTGAGATCCGCTTGTTTCTAAGTGCTGGGATTAAAACTATGCGCCACCACGCCTGGTACTGGTGCATAATTTTGCTTGATGTGGTTTGTCTTTCTGAAGCATATATGCTGATGGAGAGGCAAAGCATTCTTTTCATGGGAAAGAAACCCAGAAAGAACAGCAGAACAAAACCAAAAATAACCAACAGTTGCCAAACAAAATCTGATGGAAATCACTGCCCATACAGTGTTCTGAGTGTGAATATTTAACATGTATTTTTCAAATGTGTGTAACATGTAATCATACTTTAAGTTTATGCTTTAATGAGAAAACTGTATTAGTATCTCATGTAAGAAATTTTTCCTCATAATTGAAAAGTTTCAAGATCTAAGAGAATTAGAATCAGAAAAGCTGATGCAATTTTCAATTTAAAATTCTAGCTTTAAAATTAAATCTGTAAATAATTAGCTATCATATTCTATTACTGAGTTGTTTTGTATTTTAATTTCTTGGACAATTTTATTTTACAATGTAAAACCATAATAAAGTTACTTGTGTATTAAAAGAAAAATATTTTCATTATTTTAAATTTGTGCAATCTGATAATTGCCCTAAAAAAAAAAAAAAGGCAAAATGTTGCTAGTTTTAAAAATTAGAATTAAGAGGAAAATTTATTGAGTATTTTCTCTCAATAAATCTTATGACAGTCAAGTATAAAGTAGAAAAGAAACCCTTTACTGAGTATCTGAGCACATTAAAGACACACACAAGCACTCTTTTATAGTATTCATCAATGTACATTTATTTTTTATTAAGGAGACCATAATGAATACAAAATTACAGCAATCATGTGCACTTTTACATACAATGTCATTAAAGCAAACTCTAAACCACAGTTTGTAAAGTATTCAATTTACCTCAAGTCCAAGCTGCATCTCCCTAAGACACTGTTCCCATCACAGTAGCCATTTTAAGCCAATCTTCTTTTTACACACGGGTAGTTTCTGTAGAGAACACTTTTCTCAGGACGAAAATGCATTGAGCATGCATAAGAAAAAAATATATATATTCGCAAATACATTTAAGAGTTGCTTTAGGGGTATTGCTGAAGAAAATAAAACCCTGGGATTTATTTGCGTTTTTAAAGCACCAATTAAAAAAAATCCACAGAAAATTAAATTGTAATTAAAATGACTGATTAAACAAAAAAGTAGGGTTATTTTCAGCCAAAATCATCTTTCAGTATTAGGAAAATGCATTTTAAAATGAGGCAGAATTTGCAGAAATAAAAATGAGACATCTTCAGTGATTAGTTAACTCTACATTAGTATTCTAGATAACACGTATTTCTAGGAAGAACTGGTTCTACTGGCAAAGTATTCAAATGAATGAAATGTTACCACTTTTGAATATACTATTTTCCTTCTGAAAGTACTCCTATCTAAGCCCACTTTTATTAACTACCAAGATATTTGTTTAAGAATATACTTTACAATGTTAATAAACAACTAGTATCAAATCACTAGTTCTACTATTAAAATGATTTTTCATTACTAAAAACCAAAAGTATATGCATTTCTGAAACAAACATCAAAACAAGAATTCTAACTATTACTACACTAGATGTTGTTAAAAAAAAGAGTAAACTTTTGCTTTAAGTATTAAATAAGTTCAATTTCAATCTAAACTATGCATTTATTCTACCAGTCCTAAAAATCTTTTGCATTCAAACCAACTGGCTCACCTTTTCTGCTTCCCATTCACTTGAAGGTTAAACCAACTCCATTTAAAAGTTGCTTAGAGTACCAAGGAAGGCTACGGCAACGAATTGAAAATTCTCACAAGGCAGAAAACTCCCAGTATCTATCAGCATTCATCTACATTCTCTTTTATAAAAATGCAAACTACAACTAACCAAAACTTGACAGGCTCTAAAGGCTTAAAGAGCTCCTTATATTACCAGCTTCAACATACCCACCTATCAAACACAGTCATATAAATGTGGTGCAGCAACTATATAACTTAAGAAATTTAACAGTTCATGGAACATTTAATAAAAGTGAATGAATAGCACTATAAAATGAAAAGTGGTCAAGAGCAGGTACATTACACCCCATACCATATTACGTATGGGAATACATTTCATTTCTCAATTATGATTGCCAATTTTACCTTCTACATTGAGCCCTTCTATGGTCCATGCTCATCGGCTCACCAATGGCATACACTCAAAGGATTCCTCTTTATGGGTAACTATCTCAGGACCTGATTTTATGAGCTATGATTTGGTGCTTGCAGCATCTTCAGCACTGTGTGTGAAAATGAAGGCAGTATTTTGAATCTTTTTCTTTGTTGTAGAGATAAGCAGGAGTTTTTAATAGGATGAGCACATTTTAGAAATCGAATAAACAAAATTGATATGGTGCTGCTTTAAGACATTTCATCCTAACTCAAAATATGTACCAGTTAAAATCATCTATAACACAAACATTTTAAACTGGCAAAAAATAAAATAATGCGTCAGTTATTAAAGTATTATAAATCAGAAATTATTGGTTGCTACACAGATTATGAAAGGTTATTTGCTATACAGTTAACATTTCACTGATGCACATGCCTCTTATCAAAACATACTGCCAGTATTCCTTATTTTTTCTTTTTCAGCATATATAAAAGAAAACAGAATTGTCCACAACACTGACCCAAAATGTTCTTTTTGAACTACTATTATTCAAGGGGGAAAAAAAAAAGAAAAAAACAAAAATAACCCATCAGGTTTGGAGGGCAAAGAAAATGTCCTGTCAATCACATAAACAGATTGTGAAGGCTGTTGAAGTTTCTGACCAAATGGCTTCCTAAATCTTGGAAACTATTAAACTGTCCTTTCTTACTGTAACATTTCTGTATTTTGGGGGGAAAAACATAAAAAGGTTCGGATATTCTTCAGTTATAGCAGCAATCTACTCATTTCAATAAAAAAATTAAAATAAAAACCATTACCCAGAAATGTAAACAGCTGCTTGAACAACTTAACAGACTTTCCACTAGAATGGCAGCATAATAACAAAATACATTTGGGGAAGCAGTAGCAGATTGCTTTTGAGTACACAACCACAAAAATCTCACAGGGACAACATTAATGTACTGAAATATTTATTTATATATATGTCCTTAGGTTGTGCTTACCTGTTGCTTTTTGGAGCAGAACCTAAGGTGGAAGGTCTGGGAAGGCACTGTGAAGTATAAATAATTGCACTGTTTGCAATTAATAAAGATTTTAAACCTTAAACGAATCAAAAGCAACAGCCTCCAATTTGTGAGTTATGACACTGAATCCAACTGAACTATTTCCTTCAGCTTAATTACTAAAATGCACCACTTTCCTAAAAGGTCATCTATATAACAGTATCATGCAAAACACTGAAATTGTTCATGTCAATACCCTACTCTTAAAGATAAGAGATAACTAACTCCTTAACTATTAAACTTCAAACTAGAACTACATATCCAGATCTAAATAAGGGTATGGGAAGTCACTCTAAGTTACATAAAACAATCAAAAACATTTCAAAACATCCACAATGAACTGACTGCTATTTTCTACCCTATGGGTAATCTCAACATTTATGTCCTTGTACATCTTCCTTTAAAGTATATTCAAAACAAATGGTGCTCCCTACAAATGACAGAACTAAGATTTTTATGAAATGGTGCTATATAAGTGCTAATTGTTTAAAATTTGCAAACTGAAAACCACTTCTGTTTTATACATTAAGTTTTTCATATCAATATATAAGATATGCATATTTTACAGTGAAAAACAGTATTTTAGGAGCACCGGTAATACTATTCAACTTTGTTAATGATCAATTTTCTTTAGCTATTGCTAAAGCATATAAAAAAATACTTACCCATTAAGCTCACTTAAAAAAAAAAACAGAACTATTTATTATTCTATATTAAGAAGCAGTTATGGTTTTCCAAGATATCAGCACTGTATTCCAACATAATAGTCACACAAAATATGGCATTTGCATTATGTGGAACATCGACAAAAAGATACTGTTGCAGTTCATCAATTTGTCATTCTGATGTACTTACAGTGCAATGCTCCTTGAAGGAACACAATCAAGGATGATACACAGCACAGTCCTCCTCACCCCTACAGAGCTAGTTCTATACTGGCTGGATCAAACCTGCACTTCAACAGACAATGGCAAGACAGACTGTATTTGCATGTAGTCTAATATATTAATATGCAAAGAGCCAACAAATATGCAAAGAGTAAGACAATGGATTTCAACAGAATATCAGAACTTCAGCATGAGTGTTAAAGAGTAATAGAATGATTTTAAGTACACAAAAAATTAATTTGATTCAATGGCTGGACTTGTGCATTTACAAGACAAAGCTTATCTATACTGCAAAAAGAAAAAAGCTTGAACGTTTCCATATCCCACATGTTTCAATGGCAGATGCAATGTAGCTATACTTTTTGCATACTGATTACTTTTCTTCCCTAAATTTAGAAAGAAACACACTAATATTACATACATTGAAAGAGTTGCTTTACATGGAAAAAAAAAAACCTTCTTATAAACTACTCAAATTCACTGTCTGAAAACTGTTTAAAATTAGTTATGCTGAAACAGTCTTGGAAATCAAGTAATTATATTAAGAACAGAAAGGTTAACTGTTATAGCGGCAGTACAGGTCTGAAACAGTGGTCATGTATAAAAGGAAATTTCACTGTTAATGCAATGGAAGTATGCTAAAGATCATTGTATACACATGCAGTTTTTAATCAAACAGAAGGGGGGAAAAGAAGATATCAGGATTACTTGTGCTGAAATAGCCAAATACAATAAATAAAAAAGATCCTTCAATCTACCACTATACTGCAAGGGGAAAAAACATGCCAGTGTTTAAAAGCAATAATTCATGGGGAAAGCTTATATATTTGTGTATATGTATCTTAATTTATCACTGCTAAGAAATTATGAATCCTTTACCCACATATCCAACTTACCGACACAGGAGGTTTCATATCATTTATTGTAAAGCACAAAACAGGCATTTTAAAAGTGAAAGTATACATTGAAAAAGTACATTTATATCACAAAGCATTGACCACATAATAGTTGCAAATACATTTGCTGGAATGTGTACATCTACACTAAACACTAAAAACAAACCAATTTTCATTTCTACACAGAAATATTAACCTCCTATCAGTAGTGATAGATATTTTGTACATTTTCAAAATAAAAAAAGGAAAAAAAAAAAAAAAACCACTACTTTAAACCAAAACAAAATTAAGATCTTCATCAAGTCGTCTGCATCCATACATTTAACAAAGGTTTTTTTCCCCCACACAATGAAGCAAATACTGTATTGTCCACTTCTTATTATTGGCCCTGTGCAGAAGAGATACATAAGAGATACACAAAAAGTTAAAGAAAATCCTTGAAATGGAGCTAATTCAGGAGTGAATCCTTTAAGAAAGAAAAACTGGTTAATATAAATGATGGTGGCTTCTTGCATGATTTGCAAATCCCTGGGGGAAGAAAATTTATTTTTTAAAATCAAAGGCATTGCAAAAATACTCAGCACTCAGATGCCAGAAAGCATTATTAAAAAGCAAAACCCCAAACACACCACAGTATCTCATTTAGTTATACTTTCCAAGTAAAAACTAAAAAGTAAACAAACATATTCCCAAACAGACTAACAGAACATGCAGAAAATGTGATTGGGAGTGAAAAAAAAGTCAACAGATTAGTAAATTTATTATACCTGAGGTGCTGGAGGATGCTGTGGCATTCCCTGCGGACTTGTCTGGGCATAGTAGGCTGCTTGCTGTCTATAGTATTCAGCCCAGGCTGCACTATAATCTGGCTGACCACCTGGTGGAGCCCCAGTAGGAGCAGGAACTGCTTGACCTTTGAGAAAACAAAACTTTATTGTTGTAACCACAATGAAAAGCCCCACAGAATCTCTTCTCTAAAAAAAACAATACCTTGCTTCTTGTAATATTCCTCCCAAGCCTTTGAATAATCTTGTGTCTGACCTTGTTGACCTAAAAAAAACCCCCTAAATTTTAATACAAATTTATATCCACTGTTAAGCACAGCTTACGACGACAGGCACAGGGAGGGTCAAAATCATTCTTGCTTATCTTTTCTTAAGACAGGGCTCCGCTATGTAGCCCAGGCTGGCTCTGAACTTGCAATCCTCTTGCCCATGTCCCCAGTGCTGGGATTATAGGTGTGCCATTGCCCGGGCTGTTGCTCTTAAATCTTAATACTGTTAGTTAGAACACTGCCCTGTATGAAAGAGAGGTAGGCAGTAGAAAGACAGGCAGAGAAATGTGGTCTTTTCTTTTGGCCTTAATCATAAATTTTAGCCTTTTAAAACATTGCTTTTAATAAACAATCATGGCCAAAAATCCATAACTGAAAGGTGTAGATTCAAGCAAGACCTTTGAGAAGGCGGAGAGGAGGAAAGCCATGATGTCTGCCTTCTACCCATTTGAGTCAATATGTCATACTATTGGCTTTAAACTCCAAGTACTCAAATAGAGAACTACAAGATAGTTATTAAAAAATTTAAAAACATTTAAAAGGCCATGATATAAAGACTGCTGTGTTCACATCACACCACAATTTTGCTAAAAATAATCTGGCAGCTGACATAAAGAACAAAGTCAATAAAACACATAAAATTCAGATTCTATGAGGAGTTCTTTTTCCTAGGCAGAGTGATCATTTCTATGAATTTCAAAGCGAGAGATACAACCACCAAATCCTAAGAAAATAGATGAGCTCTGAACATAAAAACAAGTAACTGCAAGATATTTCTTTTCCTGACAATAGTTAAGCATTGAAGGCAACTTACTTTGTAATGGTTCAGGCACAGAAACACACAGCACATATGCCAGGCTGAACACATGGTCAAGTTAGGTGGACCGTTGCACTATTTTTTCTCACTTTTTTTTAAAAAAAGGTTTTCAATTGCTCAAAGAACCATCAGAAAATAAACAAAACAAAACAAAAACCCCAAATTGTTTTCCTATCTAGTGCCACATGAACACTTAGCTCTCTGACATAGCTATAAACAACAAAAAACCGAGCAGATACATACAGGATTTGTATGTTTTGTAGTTTGAGAAAGTTGCAAGAAAATTGATCACAACTAATGAACAAAAACTCAAGTTTAACTCTTAACCTTTAAAATACATGGTGGGGAAAAAAATCCTTTCTGCTTACGCTACAGAAGTAGTTCTAATAGTACATAATGGCACCTAACAACTGTCCCTAATTCCAGTTCCAGGGGATTTGATATCCTCTTCTGACCTCTGTGGGCACTGCACAACACAGGTGCACTTATCTACATGCAATCAATACATTCATACACATAAAATAAAAATAGAAAACCCATCCCACACATTGTCTAAAGCAAACCCAGTTAAGGAACAAGTGTTAATTCAGGCTTACAAAAAGAACTAAACCTCATTGTAATATACATTTGTTTAGAAGCTAATAATGACATTAGATGGCAGGAGCATGTGGTCCAGCAAAGAGCTCATCAGATTTTCTTAGGAAGAAAAACCCAAGTTCCCAAACTTAGTTATCAGTATCTGACATTCTAATCTTCAAAATATGTCTAAGAAAAACTCATTTCAGTGATTTAGAAGCAGATAAAGAACTCTAATCTATGGATACTTTGTTCTTCAGGCTGCAGCTATCTCCCAGTCCCTTAAAGCACAGAGTTCCTGATCTTGCTACCATTATTACTGTTTTGAGGCTAGAGTTTGGTCTAAACCTTAGCAGAATACCACCTAATATTTACATACAGCTTTACCATTTCACCCCCAAAATGAAATACTGCCTCAGAGTTCACTTAGTAATATTCTACTATAGCACAAGAGCCATCCTTACTTGAATAATCATGCTTAATTATCTCTTCACATTCCCAGCATCTTTCCACAGCTATTTCCCCTGGGCTCAATGTACCAGATGCCTGCAGAGTTCACTGTTATCATTTCCATCTCACTTTTAGACTCTTCAAAAATGACTTTACTTATTCCTCCAAACAGGATTACCTAACCTGGTAGTTCTCTACAGGTCTTTGATTCAAGTTTTGTCTTCTAGTTTCAACCTCTGCTCCTCCAAGTTACTGCTATTCCTTATGACTTAATTCTCTTCTTTAATCCCGAATCTCATCTAAGATCTTTCTCTAAAGCTTTTAGTGTTATCCTAGGAAATTTAGATGCTTCAGGAGAGGTTTGTTAGTAGGAAGGAATGACAGATTTACAGTCTATGAATGGTATTTTCTGATCCTAAATGGAAAAGCTGAAATTAGGGTTCAAAATCTATTACATAAAAGCTGGGCGTGGTAGTGCACCCCTTTAATCCCAGCACTTGGGAGGCAGAGGCAGGCGGATCTTGGAGTTCAAGGCCAGCCCGGTCTCCATTAGTGAACCCAGGCCAGCTGTGGCTACAGGGAGACCTTGTCTCAAAAAGACCAAAAAAAAAAAAGCCCCCCCAAACCAAACCAAACCAAAACCCATTACATAAAAAGGTACGAGTCTTTAATCCCAGCACTTGGGCAAGATCTCTCCAAGTTCTGGAGCAGACATAGTAAGTTACAGGGCAGACAGGGCTACATGGCAAGACCTTGTCTCAAACAAACCCCCGCCTAAAAATCCAAAACAAATGAAACTCCCCAAAGTAACTGCTACTATAGCTTGGGTTAGATGAGACCCTATCCACAAACAGAACAAAACAAAAACCCAGTAATATTGCCCAAACAACCTCCACCTAAAGCCCTGACAGCTTTGTTTATGAAAAGGGCACTTGGGGACAGTGATACTCAAGGAATCATGGAATCTGACCAGGCTAATGGCAAAGTTGGTAAGAAAAATGACTTCCAAGATGAAAACTAAATACACTTTGGTGGTGCTAGGGATGAACCCGGGGCCTTTGGTGCATGCTAACCAAACACTCTACTGAACTATGTTATCTCTAGACCTTTTATCCTCCAATTTTATTACACTATTTATCTCTCTTCCATTTAAAACACACCAAGACTGAAAGTTGTGTGTGTGTGTGTGTGTGTAAACAAGTATACCCATGTGAATGCATGCAGAGGCTACAGGACATCCATCCATGCTCTCTAAAGATGAGGTTACAGGGACATGTGTCAGTCAAGTCATGCTTGGCTTTTTTATACGAGTACTACGAAGTTGAACTCAGTCTTCATACTTGCACAGTAAGCACTCTTACTGGGCCACCTCCTCAGCCCCCAGACAGGTATTTTTTGCTAAAGCCTCTTTAATGAAGACAATATATCCAAAAGAAAATGAAATATTTAAAAACTATTTACAAATAAACTTATAGAAAAAATGATTGTGTAATTATCATGCAATTAAAAACATGCATTAAATGACCCAGTATCATTTCCTTTAAGAATTTACACAACAGGAAATTGTTTAACCAGTTTTTTTTGCTCATAAAATTAAGGTGACCATTGCATTATTAGAAAAGCACAAATGAGCCAGGCGTGGTGGCACACACCTTTAATCCCAGCACTCAGGAGGCAGAGGCAGGAGGATCTCTGTGAGTTTGAGGCCAGCCTGGTCTATATAATGAGTTCCAGGACAGCTGAGGCTACAGGGAGACTCTGCCTCAAAAAGACCAAAAAGAAAAGCACAAACGAAGAGGAAGTAATCTTCAGTTGTTTAATGTATGCTTTAAAAAAAAAAATTAACATAAAGGACCTAAGACAGTCTAGCACAGGATTTCAGCGACTTGTGTGCTGGGGAACTGAGCACGTGGCACATGCTTTTAATTGCAACACTCAGAAGGCAGAAGCAGGTAATCTCTGTGAGTTCAAGGTTGGCCTGGTCTACATAGTTAAGTTACAGGCCAACTAGGTCTACGTAGTAAGACCCTGTCTCAAAAAAGGGAAAAAAACTGTGCGGGAAAATAAATGAAAAATCAAAACCAAGGCAAGTTAAAATGTCTATTCTCAATAAAAACTAGAGTTCAGTGAACTGATTTTTGGACACACAGAATGCAGAATACCCACACCAAATTTATTGATGGGCATGTAAAGAAACAATAGGCTATAAGTAGTCACAGATGCTAAATATGTTTGCTATTAATTACCTAAGTCAGTTAATGGGCCTTAGTTTCTAATTAATATACAAATATACTGGCTCATTACACATGTGAAAATACAAGTAGCAGGTAATATACTTTAACCTCAGTATGCTCAATTCCTTATTAACAGCAGTGTTATTTCAGTAGTGTTAAAATGACTATGTCTTGATCATTATGTAGCCAGAGAATTATGACTATATTCCAACTCTTACTCAAAACTATTCCAGTTGCAACAATAAATTATGTAATCACCCTAATTCAATATTGTTCTAAAGTTAGTTTCTTATGTTAAAGGTATAGCTGTTGTAATCTGCCTGAGATTAGCTAAGTCAGAGAAACCATATATTAATGCATATGTTAGTCTCAGAAATACGATGTAGCATCACTTCCCTAGACAGTCATTCTAAAGGGAAAACTTTAAACTGAAACTAGCTTTGTAGATCTATCAATACACCCCGTGGTTGGAATGTAGTGTTCTACAGTGTCAAATGAAGGGCTTTTGAAATGACAGTTTTTCCTTTGCCATACATGCAAATATCTAATATTAAAGCAATCTACTTCCTGTCTTTGGGTTAATTACCTGTTTTTGCAATAAAAATAATATCACACATAACCAATTTTGCTTAGTGCTCTAAAAGTTAACCTTATTCCATTCAGGCTACACAAATGTGTAGTA